GATGCAGGCTACTGGTAGGTCCGTGGGGGTGGGGCCTGCACCCATGGGAAATGGGGTTCCTGCCCTCGGACCTGAAGACCCAGCCTTGGCAGCCAGCTACCCTGTCCCTTCCCTGCTATCAGCTTCACAGGCAACAGGAAACCAAGCCCTGTCAGGGAGGCAGGTGGAGGCCGGCACCCAGCAAGCTCTTGGCTATGGAGGCACAGGCCTTTAGGACCAATCTCTGTGTGTTTCTGAGTGACTGCAGAGAATGGCCTTAGCCTGTTCTGTAGTCTTCAGGGTGAGTAACCCCAGGGCCTGACTGTATGGTCCCCAGTGTTGGTGATCATCTGCCTTGGAGGCCATGCTTTTGGGGTGCAGTGCTTAGTATTGGAGAGAGACTTGCAGGTGACGACAGACACCTACTTCTACCTGTCTGCATGTTACCAAGACAGCCGTTCTCGTGTTGTCAGAGCCAGCAACTGTGAGAACTTCATGGTGGCGATCCCGGCACTCGGGAGGCAGAGGTCTCTGAGAGTTGGAGACCAGCCTCATCTACAGAGCGAGTTCCAGGACAGCCAGGGTCACACAAAAACCCTGAGTAGGAAATTTCAAAAAAGGGTGGGGGGTTCTTTGGTGTGTCCATGCCACAACATGCATGTGATGTCAGTCAGGTGTCTCCTATCATGTGGCACTCAGTGATGGAACTAGACTCTTCAAATTCGGGGGTATGTGCCCTTACCAGGCCAGCCATCATGGCTGGCCCATCTTTAAGGACACTGATTCACCTATATAAAGATCCTCATTTTTGATGGGGGGGGGGAGTGGAGTAGAATATGCTCAGAAACAAGCTGTGTGCCCTTGGGTGAAGGTCATGGCACCGCTTTTAATCCCAGCACTCAGGAGGCAGAGGCAGGTTTGGAGCCAGCCTGGGCTACAGAGTGAGTTCCAGGACAGCCAGGGATAATAAACAAACGCTGTTTCAGAAAAAGTGTGTAGCCAGGAAGCAGCCATGCCATTCTATTTAGCATCTTGTCTCTTGGAAGAATGGTACACAGAATTTCAAGATCACACCCTGGCTCAGCCTTGCCTTATGGAAAACGTGACTCGATGTCCTTGGGTGGTTTCTTCACTATGTGCACGCTCTCCATTATAGCCCATGGCACCCTTGAAGTCAGCAACCCACAAGAGGGCTAAATAATGGGGTAGGGACTCTCAAGCCTGTTATCCTGGCCCTTGAGAAGGCAGGAGAATCAGTTCAAGGCCAGCTATAGCTAGGTAGTAAGGCGTGGGTAGTATGGGTTTGCACAGCCATAGCTTCTGCTTGTACTTTGTGCCTGTGCTGACATGATGACACTTTGGGGCTCAAGTCGTGTGTGTGGACACATGACTACTTGACACTGAGTGTCCTTTCCTGGCCTAGAGTTGGTGTGGTCCAGGGACACTGCAGGGCCCAGACACCCCACAGAGAATAACTTGAGCCTGTGCTAACCTGGCCCATCCCTAGCATGTTATACACCAGCGCTGGGTTTGGTTTGGTTATTTTGAGACAGGATTTCTCTATGTAGACCAGGCTGGCATAAAACAGATCTGCCTCCCAAGTGCTGGGAATAAAGGCGTGTACCATCACTGCTCAGCAATGTTTTTGGCTTTCAATGTCAGGGCAGGAAATGGTTCAGTGCTTAAGCGCATTGGCTGTTCTAGAGGACCAACGTTCTGTTCCTAGCACCCACTCAGCGGCTCACAACTGTAACTCCAGTTCCAGAGGATGTGATGTCCCATTCTGGCCTCCTACAGCACTGCACATGGTGCATAGACACACATGCCGGCAAAAAGTAATAAACTGAGTCCCAGCCCAGGGGACGCAGAGGCAGGAGGATCTCTGAGTTCAAGGACAGCCTGGTCTACAGAGTGAATTACAGGGAAGCCAGGGCTACACACAGAGAGAAAAGGGAAAATGACCAGAGGTTGTGTAGATTTCCCTGTGTCTCCTTCCTGCAGGCAAAATTTATTTTTAAAAGTTTGACAAAATTTGTTTTCAGAATTTAAGATCAAACTAGAGAGGTCGGCACCGTTCCAATCGTGGCCAGCAAGGGGAGCCCCACGCTGCTGTCTCTAGCCCCCAAGGCTTGCAGCATCAGGCCCTCAGCCTGGAAACAACCCTGGTGTGAGTCCTGACCAGCCCCGATGTGAGCCTTGTAGGTTCTCCTTGCAGGAACAGGATGAAATGTCCCTGAGTCTCAGCTGGGGCCAGCACTCTGGTGTGGGCCATTCATTCACAAAGTGGGTAGACAGAGCCCTTCCCCGAGGAACTGGGGCTGCAGATGGAGCTGCAAGGAGCTCCCAAACTCCACTGGGTTAGACCTATTCTCAGGGGTGTCTGATTCCTGCTTCTTCTGTTCCATTCAAGATCCAAACCACAGAACCAGTTTCACTCCTGCCATCCCAACACTAGGAAGACTAACGGCAGAGGGGTCAGAAGTTCAGGGCCAGAGTGGACTATAGAGCTAGGCCCTGTCTCAAGAATTCAGACAAGAAAGGCCAATGGTCTGCACGCTTGCTGGTGGCTAGGAGGGGCCTCCCTCCCTCCCATTGCTATGTAAGTTTGGGGATCACAACAAAAAAACCATTCCTGTAACCTTCACTACAGCCAGGTGGTGGTGGTGCACGCCTTTAATCCCAGCTCTTGGGAGGCAGAGACAGGTGGATCATTGAGTTTGAGGCCAGCCTGGTGTATAAGAGCTAGTTCCAGGACAGGCTTCAAAGCTACAGACAAACCCTGTCTCGGGAAAACCAAACAAACAAAAAACAAAACCCTTCACCGCAAACTTCCCTGGTGCTTGTTACAGTTCACCTCCTACAGACCCACCATGAACTGCTTTCCTTCAGCCAACGCTGCCTTTCCCTGGGATATTTTAGAGCTGTGGTCCTAGCACATTCTTTTGCATCCTTTGGGCTCTCTTAACATGATGTCATCGCACACAGTTTAGTCATTTTGATTGCTGCGTGGTTCTGCACTGTATGGACAAACCACGACATTTCTATCCGCTCATCAATGTTCGGGGTTGGAGTTTGTGGAGTCCCAGATGTGTGAGCCTATTTCCATCTTGAGCAGAGGTCAGAGAGCTGGAACTTCTATTCCTTCAAGGTTATTGTCTGTTTCTCAGAGGTCCCACTTAGATTTGGAGGGAGAGGTTATTGTCGATAGGGTTGGCTAATATCCAGACCTTGTATTTCAGGGATAGAAAGTCCAAGGATCCACTAAGTTCCTATTCTTTAGAGAGATGACATAGGGAGTGGTTTGCCTGCAGGATGTTTTGGTCTAGGGTGTGAGTGTGACTTGCCCTCTGGTAGCAACAGAGTGTTTATCTAAGAAGGTAGCCCAAAACCTTCAATTGGTCTGTTCATTTCCTTTTATTATGTATGCTAATGCATGTTTCTTTTCATCTACTCCTACTTTTTGGTGTCAGGGATATTTTAAGCAATTGGAAATTAAACGCAGGCGATTTCAGTACTCACTGTAACTCCCTCCTAATACTATCCTATGCTTCTGTTTTATTATTTTTACTTGCGTCTTTGTATCCTTTACAACTCTTCTGAACCCAGTGCCCCTGCCCTGGTAAGTGGTATTTTTCTCGAATCTCGTCTCTGACAGAAGTTTGGGAACTTTGTAATATATGTCATTTTTTTTATAAAATTTGCTTATTTATTTTTATGGTTTTATTTAATTTTTTTATTTTATGTGCATTGGTGTGAAGGTGTCAGATCCCCTGGAACTGAAGTTACAGACAGTTGTGAGCTGCCATGTGGATGCTGGGAATTGAACCCGGGTCCTCTGGAAGAGCAGTCAGTGCTCTTAACCTCTGAGCCATCTCTCCAGCCCTATATGTCATTTTTTGTTTGTTTCTTTTATATGTTTTCTTAGTTTGGGTTTCTGTTGCTGTGAAGAGGCACCGTGACCACGGCAACTTCTTTTTTGTTGTTGTTGTTTTGTTCTTGAGACAGATTTCTCTGAGTAGCCATGGCCTACTTTGTAGACCAGGCTGGCCTGAACTTGGAGATCTACCTATTTTCCCCGAAAGTTGGGATAAAAGGTGTGTGCTACTCTGCCTGATTTATCCCAACTCTCATTTAAAAATTTATTATTTTTAGGATGTGCATGTGTGCACCATCGGTGTGCAGGTGTCTGTGTGACATGGTGCCTGTGTAAAGGTCAGAGGTCAATCTTTTTTTTAAAGATGTATTTATTATGTATCCAGTGTTCTGCCAGCTTGTGTGTCTGGAAGGCAGAAAAGGACACCAGATCCCAGTACAGATGGTTGTCAGCCACGTTGTGATTGCTGGAAATTGATCTCAGGACCTCTGGAAGGACAGTCAGTGCTCTTAACCTCTGAGCCATTTCTCCAGCCCCCAGAGGTTAATCTTATAGAGTCAGTTCTACCTTTGGGTCCAGGGATAACACTCAGCGCATCATTCTTTTTTAATATTTATTATGTTTACAATATTCTGTCTGTGTGTATTTCTTCAGGCCAGAAGAGGGTACCAGATCTCATTACAGATGGTTGTGAGCCACCATGTGGTTGCTGGGAATTGAACTCAGGACCTTTGGAAGAGCAGGCAATGCTCTTAACCTCTGAGCCATCTCTCCAGCCCTCAGGTCATCATTCTTGTGAGCCAAGATCCTTTGACCCACTGAAGATTTCAGTGCCCCCATCTCTCTGCCCTGTAGCCATCACGTGGCCTTGCCAGATCTTAACCATAGAAAGTAAAAGGCCGACCTTGAAATCCTCACCCCCCCCCCACTTTCCAGGTTGCTGAATCTTTTTAAAAAGTAAGGTGATCAGTTCAGAGAATCTGTTGTAGTGACAAGAAGTTGAACTCAAATTATTATTAATGATGCTGTCAACCTTATTTGCTTAAACGTCATTGTGTGAGTGACTCCGGCTCTAACGAGGAGATGCCCAGCGGCGAGGGTGTGCCGCAGGCCCCATCTGACGCATCTGTTAGCCATGGAGGAGGGAAGTTCTTCGTGTGATGGCAGGTAAGGTTCTTTAGAGAGGGTTTTGTCTGGAAACATCCCGACTCTCCAACAACAGCTAAGCAGATCTAATTGATCCAGTCAATGGAATAACACTCAGCAATTAAAAAAGAAACCAGGACTAGACACATGGCTTGGCAGTTAAGCGTACTAGCGGCTCCTGTGGAGGACACATGTTTGGTGTGCTGTGCACGGGGATCAGCTCTTCTGACCTTGGTCACCAGAGACACACACGGCGCATAGATATACTTGTGGATAAAGCACTCATACACATAAAATCAAACCAAATCGCTGTGTAGTGGTGGCACACAACTCTGATCACTGGAAGAAGAGGCAGGAGTATCTCTGAGCTTGAGACATGCCTGCCTACCGAGTGAGTTCTAGGAAAACCAGGACTACACAGAGAAACCCTGTCTTGAACAAAAAAAAAAAAAAGGAAAAAAAGAGAAAAAAGTAATAAAGCATAAGGGTAGTGCCCATGTTGTTGGCATCTATAGTCTGTTCAGGTGCGCCACGGCATTTTAGGAGACAGTTCCTGGGCTGCAGGTGTGTGAGAGGGAGTACCTTGTCATTAACTGTGGTTGTTACGGAGCATAGTAGATCTCTTGAGCTTGGATTTATGCCTGCTGTCAACAGATATTTGGTGGACTCACGTATCTTCTTAAGTCATCATGAGGGGCTTCAAGAAAGTTTCATTATCTGTAGGAAATCGCTATCAATCACAGGCATTCAGCACCATGCACCCCTGGACAGCTCCCGGAAGCCGCTCTTTCCGGAACTATATGTCCACTTTCCTGTTTCCTGTCGGAAGCATTTGATAGTTGCATTCATAGCTGGGAGGTGGACTGCTTTCCGGAGCCGGTAGGCGTTGCAGAACGATTGGCAGCAGGGAGGACCAATAGAATCAGGGGACTGTCGAATGGCGCTGACAGCGTCCAATAGACGCTGGCGTGGGCGGGGCGTGGGCAGCGGCTTGCAGACCCGGGGGTCTCGGCTGGTCCGCTGCGGCGGGGTCCGGACGGCGCGGCGGTTGGCGGCAGGCGGCACCGGCCGGAGGCTCTGGGGCCTGGCGGAGGTACGAGGGGCTCGGGGCGGGGCCGAGGGGCCGCGCTCCCGAGCGCGGCTGCGCGGGGCACACAGTAGGCGCTCAATAAGTGCTCAACGAGAGAAGGAGCTCGTCGGCCCCCACCCCGCCCCGTCGGCCCCAGGGAGCGGCTGCCCGAGCAATTCTCAGCCCGCACGGCCTCTGGGCCATCCACACACAGCAGGCATTTGTTGGGTGCCTGTTGTATACGCTAGGCCTTATGTTCACCGTGGGAAGGTCTATTTGTTTTCGGTTTTTTAAAAGTTTACTTAATTATATCATTCATTTTTAATATTTTAAAATCGAAGTTAATTTTAGCCTTACCTTATTTCATCTTACTTTACTTAATTTTATTTCGTTATTTTCTTTAAAAGAAATTCGTTTCAAATTATTTTGTATATGGGTGTGTGCCTGTCTGTATGTACATCACATGTGGGCAGTGGCCAGAAAAGGGGTCGGATCCCCTGGGGCTGGGTGGAATGCAGGCATTCTTAACTGCTAAGCCATCTCTCCAGCTCCTATTTTATTATTTTTTCATTTAATTATTTTTCTTTTGGAGACAGGGTCTTCCTACGTAGCCCAGGCTGCCCTGGAACTTAACTCCCTACCTAGAGCAGGCTGACCTTAAACTCAGAGATCAGCCTGCCTCTGCCTCCAAAGTGCTGGGATTAAAGGCGTGTGCATATTTGTTGTGGAGAGTGGTGTGTGCAAAGTCAGGACAACGTGCAGGATCAATTCTCTCTCTTCCTCGCGTCTCTCAGGGTCTTCTCGGGTCCTTAGACTTGGTGTGGCACCTTTATTTACACTTTGAGCTTTGTTTCATTATTTTATCTCATTTTTAACTGAATTTATGGTTTATTATTTTATTTTGAATTAGGGTCTTGCTGAGTTTTCCAGGCTGATCTCAAACTTGGTGGTTATTCTCTCACCTCATTGTCCCTTGTGCTGAGATTTGTACATGTCCTGGATCTCACGCTGTAGACCTGGCTGACTTTGAACTCAGAGATCCGCCTGTCTCTGCCTCCCATGTGCTGGGATTAAAGGTGTGCACTGCCCCGGCTGGCCCAGCACAGTTTGTAATTGGTCGTTTTGTGAGAGTGCGCATGTATATAGTCCAGACATCCGTGTCGGTGTCTTCATTGATCTTTCTTCACTTATAAACAATGGGTGTTCTCTGTATTCGTGTCTGTGCATCCCATATGTGACCAGAAGGGGGCGTCGGTTTCCCAGAGCTGTGGGTGCAGCCGGTGCCCTAACTTTGACATCCGTCCCAGCCTCTGTTTGCACACTGGGGCAGGGTCTCACACTTGAGTCCAGAACTCCTGACTGGGTCAATGTGTGTTCACCACGTCCTGGCCATCAAGGTACCGGACAACTCCAAGTATATAGTTCCTTCTGGTGCTGTAGGAAGGGGGCGGGGCTGGACAGGCCCTGGGAAGGCCCTGACTGCAGGGGAGAGCTGGGGACTGCGGTCAGCAGCCAGGACAACGGTGTTGATGTTTTGTGAGACAGGATCTACAGAATCACATAGGAACAGCCTACGCTTTGGCCACCACATCCGCTCAGCCACCTGTCACCTCACGCCTGCTCTGCACCAGGCCTTGAGGTGGGTACCAGGGGTCCAGTCGGGAGCGTGGCTTAGGTGTCTAGAGGAGGCTGTTCCAACTTCCAGAATATAGGGAGTGGTCTGTGCAGAGGCCCTGGGGCTGGTACAGGCCTGTCGTTCAAGACAGGCAAGCTGGTGTGAGGTGAGCTGAGGCCTAACCTCCTGGTAACAGACTGAGTCCCTTGTCAGGGCAGCAGTACCCCAGAGAGTGCCCTGAGAGTGTCCTGACACCGATGGGAGCATTCTGTACCTGTGCACAGCACAGAAGCCACTCGGCCAAGGTGGTTACTAGGCACATGGCAGCAGGGGCCAGATGCTAAATAGTATTGAGTTTCATGTTTCCTGCGTGAGTGTGTGCGTGTGTGCACATGTGAGTGTGAATTGTGTGAGTGTGCATGTGTGTCTGCATGTGTGTGCGCATGTGTTGTCCTCAGCCCCTCGCCATCTTGGTTTTGGAGGCAGGGTCTCAGGAACCGCCTGTGAGTCGAGCATGGCTGACCGGTTAGTGACTCCCATGGCTAACGTGGCTGCCATTGTCCTCACAGCTGCCGGGCAGAGCCATGAACCCCCAGCCCTGCGGCTGGGGCCGGTAGCCCCTGAAGCTCTGGTGTGTGACTCCATGTGTGGTTTGGCCCTGCGGTGACCGGTGTGACCCTGGTGGCCACCATGACTAAGCTCCTGGTGGCGAAGCTCCTCTGCATGGTGGGCATGTTCTTCTTCATGCTGCTGGGCTCGCTGTTGCCCGTGAAGGTCATTGAGGCCGACTTCGAAAAGGCACACCGCTCGAAAAAGGTCCTTTCTCTGTGTAACACCTTCGGGGGTGGTGTCTTCCTGGCCACGTGTTTCAACGCCCTGCTGCCTGCAGTGAGAGACAAGGTGAGACCCTGCAGGTGGGCTGGACGGAGGGCTAGTGGGGGCTCCCTGCTGGGCACATGTGAAGGATTGTCTCACAGAAGGGCCTGGGTAGGCGTGGCCTTCCAGCAGCTGCCTCACCATCAGCGACTTGGGGGACTCAGTCCTGCAGCCTGGGCTGTCTCTTTCAAGGCCACAGTGAGCTCAGGAAGTCCTGGGCTGGGGTGTTCTCCTCCGGGGCATGGGGGAGCTTGGCTCTTTCTGCGAAGTCCTAGCCCGTCAGGGCCAGCTTCTGCCTTCTGAACCACAAGCTATCGTGGCCACTTTCTTTGTCAGTGAGTGTGTGGCTGCGGTGACCTGGCCTCGCCCAGCCCTCAGGTACCTTCCCCTCCTCCAGGCCTGAACTTGTGCAGTGGCCTTGCTAGTCCCTGTCCACTGACACCTCACCGCATTAGGGGTAGGCCCCACGCATCCTTTGGCTCAAGCAGAGTTCACAGATGCTGCCTCTCGTGGCCGGATCCATTGCTGGGAGGGAAGAGGGCGCCCTGTCCCATGGCTGCAGCAGCCCAGGAGGGCGGAGGGCAGCTTTGCATGTGTGTTCCGAGTGAGTAGTTGAGTATTTATTGTGTGTGTGCCAGTGCGTGTGGATGCCAGAGGCTTTCTGGAGTCAGTGGGTCCCACGGATTTGAACTCAGAATGTCAGACTTGGCTGCAAGTACCATCACCCTTGGGCCGTCTCGCCATCTCCCCCCCCCCCTTTTTTTTTTCTAAAAACGCTTTGTTTTTGGCGGTGCTGGTGTCAGAACCTGAGCGAGGAAATGCTCAGGTACACTTGGGCCCCCAGGGTTTCAGCCTTGGTGTGACCTGGGCTGTGTCTTTTGTTGCCTGCCACCACACCAGCTCTGTGTGGCACACACGAGTGACTCCTTCAGGCCAGGTCTCCACGCAGCCCAGGCTGCCCTTGAGCGCCTCCCGAGGGGTCCCCTGCCTGGAATGGGAGGCCTGCAGCTGACTCAGCCCTGTTCCCGCAGCTGCGGCAGGTGCTGAGCCTGGGCCACATCAGCACGGACTACCCGCTGGCCGAGACACTCATGATGGTGGGCTTTTTCCTCACCGTGTTTGTGGAGCAGCTGGTGCTGACCTTCCGCCGGGAGCGGCCGCCTTTCATCGACCTGGAGACCTTCAACGCAGGCTCGGACGCCGGGAGCGACTCGGAGTATGAGAGCCCGTTTGTGGGTGTGGGCAGCCGCAGCCGCGGGCTTTTCCCCGAGCCCACAGCGCACACACATGGTGCAGGGCTGCGGCTGCGGGAGCTAGGACGCCCCGGCCCACTGCGGCTGCTCAGCTTGGTATTCGCGCTGTCGGCACACTCGGTGTTCGAGGGCCTGGCGCTGGGGCTGCAGGAGGAGGGTGAGCGTGTGATCAGCCTGTTTGTGGGTGTGGCTGTCCACGAGACGCTGGTGGCCGTGGCCCTGGGCATCAGCATGGCCCGCAGTGCAGTGCCGCTGAGGGACGCAGCCAAGCTGGCAGTGACCGTGAGCGCCATGATCCCCGTTGGCATCGGGCTGGGCCTGGGCATCGAGAGCGCCCGCAGCGTGGGCAGCAGTGTGGCCTCGGCGCTGCTGCAGGGCCTGGCCGGTGGCACCTTCCTGTTCGTCACCTTCCTGGAAATCCTGGCCAAGGAGCTGGAGGAGAGGAGCGAGCAGCTGCTCAAGGTGCTGTTCCTCGTGCTGGGCTATGCCGTCCTGGCCGGCATGGTCTTCCTCAAGTGGTGACGGCACTCGCCTGCCTGTCACCTGCTGCCCACCCGAGCTGTGGGTTTCCACAGGACACACAGGTCACGTCCTGCGCCAGCCGCACTCCAGGGCCACGACCCACACGGGGCTTCCCGCACTCCACCCACTGATAATGCTTTCAAAAGAAGTCTTAAAGTTCTTTACCAAAGCCTTGTGGCCATGTCACCTCATGTCCCCGTCACTCCACCTGTCCCTGCCAACACTGCTGAGCCACCAGGGATGGAGCATGGGGAGCCGCTGCACCCTCCACCCCATGTTCCCAACATGTTCTGTGTAGCCCAGGCCCTGCCCGCCATTGTCACCCGAGTTTTTCCAGTTGCTCCAGCATGCCGTGTGACAGGTGCATCAAATGAGCAAGGATCTCCTTCCCAGGGGACAGCCCAGCACTGGCCAGCCCTCAGGAACCCACTCTTGCTCCCAGAGTGGATGGGGGCCGCGACTCCAGGGCCAAGCGTATGGTCTCCTGGGAGGGAGTGGGACGTGGAGAGTGACTTGGTGGTCATGTCTGAGTTACATCCTCACCACTGGGGTCTCCAGAAGACACAAGGGGAGACTCCCAGGATGCAGGCAGGAACTCAGCTCCTAGCAACCATGGTGCCTGTCGCCATGGCAACACTAGCATCCTGGGACAACCTGAGTGAGAACTCTTCCTCTGGGGACTTAAGGCTACCCCTTTTCATGACCTTGGCTCTGTCCACCAGGCACCACCTCAACATTGTCCCCTTGGTGGCTGGATGTCAGACTCCTACCTAGTGCCCCATCACCATGGCAAGGTGACCCCCTGCCTGGGTCCTACTCAGAAGATATGAGGTACAAAGAACAGGGCCTTGGGGACAACCGGGCCTTAGGCAGTGGCCCCAGAGCCCCAGGGCCTGGGCCACCTCAGTGTTGTAATAAGCCAGGGTTCACATGGCACTTCCAGACATCAGGGCGTGCGGGACCTGGTGCCTCCAGGGAGGGACCAACTGTTGATACCATGAAGTCTAACCCCGTCTCTGCAGGTGTGGGGACACGCCCACAGTGCCACCTGGCACTCCCCTAGTGCTTTTCTTCAGCCCTCCACATAACACCCATAGGACATCTAAGTGTTCCACATCTTCCCTTGAGCCCAGGTGAGCCCCATGGAGCCACTGTGCCAGCGCAGGTGACAAAAGACCATACCCGAGTAGGACGTGCCTGATCCCTGTCTGACCATCCCAGCAGGAAGACTGTACCCCCTATGGCTGCATTAAGTGGGACCCTTTCCCCAGCACCAACTACTCTGCCCCTGGGAACACCAGCAAGCCTGTGTGCCTGTCACCATGGACCTGGTCCCCTCCCCATCAATCCTCTGAGTCTCTGAGAGTCATCCCAAGCACCAGCTCCCTGGCAACTGTGGGAGCTTCTGCCTCCCCTACAGACCTTTGGGTCCAGGTAGCAGCATCCTTAGAGGGGTGGGGATCCCAGGCCCAGGAGACACCCGCCATCACTCCTCAGGCCTGCCTGGCCACGTGTGTAGTGGGCCTGGGAACTCACGAGACCCTCGGTATTCCCGTGCTGTGGACTAGGACTCGAGCAGGTCACGGTCGGGAGCTTATGTCAGTGAAACCAGTCACATCTCATATTGGAGTGCAAAGAAGCAGGGTGAGCATCCTGCCTGGCACCACAGTGACCCCTCCCCGAGGTGGTCCCTCTGACTGCGCAGGTATAACTGGAGAGGTGGTACCGCCCATGGCCACCCACACACACCGCCTCCTGTGGGGACACAGCAGGGAGAAAGCGGGATGTGAGGAGAGGGTGGGGAGGGCGGCCCAACTTCACTGCTGATCTGTAATAACATGTCAGCCTCTCAGGGCTTGTTTGTGTTCCACTAACAGAAGTTATTAGTGCAGCAGGCGAGATCAGCAGGCAGCTCCTGGCGCCCTGCCTCTCTTGCTGCTGCAGGGGGCCAGGACGGCCATTGCCTGCATCCCACCCGCCCAAGGGAGCACCTCAGTCTGGGTTCCCCCATGGGGGCTGGGGCCTTCTGGGTGTCGGCAGACTCCACTTGCCCTTACCCAGGAGCTCCCTGATCTGGGACAAACACGTGTCCCAGATGTCTCCCTGAGTCTTCCAGGGGAGGGGGGTCACACATGTAAGTCGTCCCCATGACCCCGTGTACTTAGGAAGCTGCCATTCAGCTGAGAGGAATGAAATGAACACGTCAGTATCATCAGGTACTGTCCCCACAGAAGGGAGAAAAGTCAAGGGACAAGGCTGATAAAGAACTCAGTGGGCAAGGGGGGAGTTGTCACCAAGCCTGAGACAGAACTGACTCCTGCCAATTGGCCTGCTCCTACAGGTGCTCAGTGGCACCTGTGCAGGCACAGGTGTGTGCTCCCCCCATGTAAAAAAAAATGAGTTTTTTTTTGATTTTGGGGGGTTTTACTTTGTTTTTGTTTTGAGACAGGGTCTCTCTTTGTAGCCCTGCCTGTCCTGGAACTCGCGCTGTAGCCCAGGCTGACCTCGAACTCACAGAGATCCGCCTGCCACCCAGCTAAGAAAATTGTTTTTAAACCGGGCATAATATCCATGACTAATCCCAGCATTCCAGAGGCAGAGGCTGGTGGATATCTGTGAGTTCCAGGCCAGCCTAATCTACAAAGTGAGCACTGTCTCAAAAAATACACTTAGCGGGGCTGGAGCGATGGCTCAGTGGTTAGAACACTGGCTCCTCTTCCAGAGGACCCGGGGTTCAATTCCCAGCACCCACATGGCAGTTCCAGAGAATTTAACACCTTCACACAGATATACATACAGGCAAAACACCAAGGCACATAAAATAGAAAGAAAAAAGAAAAAAATAAAATAAGGATTTGAACTATTTTTGGTCTATATTGTTTTTGTGAGTGGATGTTTTGCATCCATGTTGTCTTTGCACAACGTGTGTCTCTAGTCCCCAAGGAGACCAGGAGATGACATCATCCGTCTCCACAGAGTCCAGGCTGGTCGGGGCAGCACGTCTAGCTGCTGTCTCAAACAGACAAAATACTGGGCTCCAAAATGCCAGTCCATGTATTTTGGGATTTTCTTTGTGTGGCTGGTGTGTGTGTGTCTGTGCAGTGCCTGCAGAGGTCTGAAGGTAGCGTCAGGAGTAACAGATGGTTGTGAGGCACCATGTCCTCTGAGAGGGGCCAGCACTAACCGCTGAGCTACCCACTACCCTCCCCCTCCTTGATGTTTCAGACTGCGTCAGCACAGTGGGGCTCGCAGTTGCAATGCCTCAGCCTCCCTGGTGCTGCCCTGGCAGGGTCGAACCATGCTGCTAGATAGATTTGGGTTCTGAGGATCTTTTTCAGGTCCTGTTGGTAAACACTTCATGACTTCATGGTTGAGCAATCTCCCCAGGCCCTTTCTGCAGCCCCTTCTGCTGGTGGGAGCAGAGCAGGACTTGGTAGGCAGACTAGAACTCCAGACTGCGGTGTGGGCTGCCTAGCCTCTAGGGCTCCTGAGCTCCTGTGCCCAGATACCTGCCCTACACAGCTCTGCAAGGTGGGGCAGAGTGCAATACCCCAAGCCCCAGCCAGCCACAGAGCCCTGCTGTGGGAGGAGGCAGGAACCGAGCCTGTCTCCAGTGGCTCCTGATCCCAGAGCCTGGCCTGGCGTCTATAAATAGCATCAGTATGTGGACAGGCACCTCCGTGTGAGTCAGCCTGGGCTGATACTTGAAGGAGCCAGGGAGCTGGCCAGAGCTGGGCTGAGCGCTCACTGTTGGTCTCTTAGGGAAGCCAGGTGGCCAGGAGCCCAGTCAGAGGAAGCTTGACTGCTCTCCCCAAGCCTCCCCCTCCTCCATGCCCAGCGCCTGAGAAAGGGGGCCACTCTGTGGGTTTGTTCCCAGCTACTGAGTGGTGATGGCAGGAGTTGCTAGGGGTGCTTCTGTGGGACAGAGGTTTTACTTTCCATCTCTGGACTCAGGGTAGGAGGAATGGAGACACCGTCTGAGGGTCCCCGCAGTGCAAGGGTAGGAGGGAGGTGAATTCTTAGCTCTAGGCAGCCCAGGTTGAGGCACTTACAGGAAAAGGAGAACTGGACCATGAGATCCTTGAACACACACACCAAATTGGACTATGACCCAGGAAGAAGGAGCCACTTAGAATTGAGGAGAGGGCCAGGTGGTGGCGGCACACACCTTTAACCCCAGCACCCAGGAGGCAGAGGCAGGAGGATCTCTGTGAATTTGAGGCCAGCCTGGGCTACAGAACAGTTCCTGGACAGTCAGAGCAGCATAAAGAGATCCTCTCTGGGGCTGGAGAGATGGCTCAGAGGTTAAGAGCACTGCCTGCTCTTCCAAAGGTCCTGAGTTCAATTCCCAGCAACCATATGGTGGCTCACAACCATCTGTATGGGGTCTGGTGCCCTCTTCTGGCCTGCAGGCATACACACAGACAGATCCTTGTATACATAAGGAATAAATAAATATTTAAAAAAAAAAAAAAGAGATCCTCTCTGAAAACAAAACACCAACAAAAGAACTGAGGAGAGGGGAAGCAGGAGGTGGGCGGGGATGGGGGAAACACAGCAGAGGGCTGAGTGGAGCCCCAGGGCACACGGTTTCCATCCCAGTAAGGAGGACCAGCCTAATCTACGGAGCAAGACCATGTCACAAACAAAACATTTTCTTTTCTTTCTTTCTCTCTTTTCTTTTCTTTCTTTCTTTCTTTTTTTTTTTGACAGGTTTTCTCTAAATGTACCCCTGGCTGTCCTGGAACTCGCTTTGTGGACCAGGCTGTCCTCAAACTCACAGAGATCCACTTGCCTCTTCCTCCAGAGTGCTAGGATTAAAGGCTACCCCCACTAGGTTTTAAAATAAAATTTAAATTACATTTTATTTATCAGTTTTTCTGTGTGTGTGCTGAGGTCAGAGAACAATTTGGGACTGGCTCTCTCCACCCACCAAGTGAGTCCCAGAGATCCAGCTCCGGCTATCAGGCTTAGCAGCAAGCCCCTTTCTCAGCCGAGCCTTCTTGCTGGTCCAACAAAGTAAAGTTCTGCTCCGTTTTCCTGCGATGTGGGCGTGGAGCCAGGGCCTCAGCATGTTGGGCGAATGCTCTACCCTGAACTACATACCAGAAGAACAATGGGGTTTTATCTTTTTTCTTTTCTTCTTTGTTTGTTTGAGGCAGTCTCTGTAGTTGAGTCTGATTCTGGACTCCTGGTTCTCCTGCTGTCTCCAGTGCTGGTCGACAGGCCCGCACCACACTGCCTGTGCCTGCAGTGCTGGGAATGGACCCCAGGGCTGCTGGGCAAGCAGAGCCTCTACCCTGTGAACGACAACCCCAATGACAGGTTTCTTTGTGCTGTTTTGCCTTTTAGTCTCTCTGACTCTCCTTTGCTTCCATCCCCCGCCCCCAGCCTCCCCCCCCACGCCCCTGCCCCAGGAGTCTTCTACTCTGTAGCCCGGACTGTCTTTAAACTCACAACTGTCCCCCTGCTTTCACCTCCCCAGTCTGACTGACATCTTATTCCATCACCCTCTGCGTCTTGCTGATCCGACCTGGACCATGCACCGCCCCCCACCCCCATCCTCAGCGCCTCGCTGATCCGACCTGGACCATGCACCCCCCATCCTCAGTTCTCCCTTTTGCAGTTTGGGTGACCCCCAAACACCGTCCATCGTGGCTCCAGGACCGCACATGGCGGGTCCTGTCACCCACCCGTGTCCCTTGGGGTGCAGGTAGCCACGTGGATCGGGTGGGTGTGGATGTCCGGATGCCCAGCGCTCGGCTTGCCCCCCGGCGGCTGATGGACACCCAGGGCGGGCTTGGCGGTGACCTTGGGCTGCAAGGGCCCGGGCCCGGGTCCTGGCGGGCGGGGCGGGCGGGGCGGGCGGGGCGGAGCGCGGCTGGGGCGGGGACATCGGGACTGCGGCGGCGCGGACAGCAGCGCAGACGGGGACCACAGCGGCCCAGGTAGGCGGCAGGGCGGCCGCGGCCACCGAGGGTGGGGAGGGGTCCCCAGGCCACCATGATCCCTTTGTTCCGGCCCACCCTCCCAGGCCACCGCGCCAGGTCCTGCGTGTCCCCGGTCGTCCTGTAGCCACCATGGACAGCTCCCGGTCGCCCCACCCCTGCCTGGCCACGCAGAGCATCGCCCTGTACCCCTGAGGGCCTTGTCCCCTCATCCAAGCCCTCTGTGATCTGCCCGCTGAGGCCCAGGTCCCTCACCGCCACCCATAGAGCCCTGTGCCCTCGCGACCAAGCGCCTCTCAGGACTCCTTCTCTCTGGTCAGTCCCCTCCTGACTCCCAGGGAGCACCCCTTTCCTTTGAGTCCCTAAAACTGCCGTTTTCCATCATGGCCCCTCCTCAGTCTGCAGCCCCTAGGTTAGTCACCCCCATTAGTCAGCAACCCCGCCCCCAGACCCTCCCCTGACCAAGGCTTCTTGCACCTGAGGTGGCTTCAGGGTACCAGGGCGCTGTGCTGCTGTCCTGTGGACAGGAGAAGGGGTTTTGGCCAGGCTGGCCCAGGCCTGGGGTGACTCAGACAGAGTGGCCAAGCTCCTCAGAGCCCCCCAGGGCACAGCAGCTGAGCCAGGCCCAGCTTTGAGTCCCTCTGAGACATGCCACCCCCCAGCTCACATGACCGTGAGCAAAAGCCCTCTCCCCTGTCCCCAAAGGAGCAAGATCCCCCATCCCCAAAGGAGCAAGACCTGGATTGTGCAGGACCCTCCTAGTCGGGGAACTGAGACCTCAGGACCTCTCTGGTGGCCATCCCTGCCTGGCACTGGGCCACCAGGAAGGGATGCACTTGGGTGGTGCAGATCCCACCTGCATTTGCCACCTTGGATGCCCTCAGGCCAGTGAGGATGGCGTCACTTAGTGCACTGCTCTAGTTAGCCATGAGAGAAATGTGAAGTTAGCTGGACTCAGGGCTGCCCAGGCCGGCCCCTCCCAGCTCCTCCTGGGCCAAGAAGTGCCTTGGGTAGAGTCTGGGTACAGTTTGAGTTCGTCTCCAGCTTGAGAAGATTTCGGGATGTGTCACCAGGGTTCTGTCCTGGCATCCAGTGCCTTTGGTGGCCCTGAATGTCCTCTCAGACCCCACGGAGGACCTGGTCACTGTGACTGTGGAGATTTGTCAGGGACTGGGCCCCAGGCACTGTCCTCAGCCATATCTCTGTGAGCTATCCGAGGTCGGGCTCCCAGCTCACAGGAGGGAAACTGAATTCCAAGGACATTGTCACTTTCCTGTGTCACACTCCTAGGGTCTGACTCTAGTGCTGTCCTTGGGACTTTCCCGGCACGTACACACTGAGGAAGAGAAAAAGGGGTCTTGATGAGGTCAGTCATCACGGGAACAGGCCTTCTGCATGCTGCCCTCCACATTCTTCCTCACCTCCAGACTTCAGAAGTGTCCACGCTGTGCTCTGAGGAAAGACAGGAGAGAAACCCCAAGGAATCCCTGGCTAGGAGTCACGTTCAGCACACAGCGGCCTGAGCAGGGCCCAAGGCACAGGCCTAGGGAACAGGGAGTCCCGGGAGTCCCGCTCGGCCTGGGCTGGGAGTCCCCATGTCCCAGAAGTTGCTTCCAGGGACTCGGGGTCAGGATTTACACATCTGATTCCTGGATGTCAGTGAGAGCCACTTATGAGGCAGAGAAGCCCTTTCCCGGGGCCAGTCCCCAGGGCCAGGCCGGAAGCCCGTCTTCAGGACATCCAGAGCTGAGGTCCTCACTGTGCTGTTGGGCTTCTTGTTGGTGGAGATGGCAGTTTTCTGGTTCTGATGTTTGTTTGCTTTTGTTGTTTGTTTTTGGTTTTTCGAGATAGGGCTTCTCTGTGTAACAGTCCTGGCTGTCCTGGAACTCGCTCTGTAAACCAGGCTGGACTCCAACTCAGAGATCCACCAGCCTCTGCCTCCCGAGTGCCAGGCAGTAGTGGTGCACACCTTTAATCTCAGCACTCTGTCTAAAAGTGTATGCCACCACAGTGACGTTGTTCTTAGACAGAGTCTCACTCTGTAGTCGAGAGAGTGGTCCAGATTTTACTATCCCCCTGCCTCAGTCTCTCCAGCTCTGGTCTCATCACAGCTGATTTTCACAACGGGATTCTTTTCCTTCATTGTTCTCCTGTATATGTGTGCAGTACCTGCAGAAGCCAGAAGAGAGCGTCGGGCCACAGAGGGTTGTGAACTGCCATGTGGGTGTTGGGAACTGAACTTGGGTTCTCTGCAAGATCAGCCAGTACTTTAACCTTCAAATTACCTCTCTAGCACCCCACCTTGAGTTTTTTTTGAGACAGGGTCTGTTACATGTAAGGATGGGGCAGGAAGAAGACGAGGCTGAGATTCTGAGTCGTTTGCACTGGTGTGGAGCAGGAAGCCAGGCCTGAAGTGGGACCCTGAGCCTGTGCTGAGTGTGAGCGTTTCCTGGTCTCATCAGCACTGTATCCAAACTCAGAGTCCCCTTGGGACCTCTGGGCCTTGGAGCTGAGGGGTTGGCAGCAAGTTCCCCTGCAGAGTCAGCAGGGGCATCCGGGAGAGCCATCTGGGAGACACTTGGGTGGGATGCAGGAGGGACCAACACCTCCGCGTCCTGACAGCTGGGACAGAGGGCTATCCTGGGCCCAGGTGGCTTCCCACGTCTCACTGTCCCTTCTCCAACAGGGTCGGTCTGGGGTTCTAGCAGCCGGCCCTGTGCACCCAGCCGGCTTCGGAGAAGATGCCGGAACAGAGCAACGACTACCGCGTGGTTGTGTTTGGTGCAGGCGGGGTGGGCAAGAGCTCGCTGGTGCTCCGCTTTGTGAAGGGGACGTTCCGTGACACCTACATCCCTACCATAGAGGACACGTACCGACAGGTGATCAGCTGTGACAAGAGCGTGTGCACACTGCAGATTACGGACACAACCGGCAGCCACCAGTTCCCTGCCATGCAGCGGCTGTCCATCTCCAAGGGCCATGCCTTCATCCTGGTGTTCTCGGTGACCAGCAAGCAATCGCTGGACGAGCTGAGCCCCATCTACAAGCTGATCGTGCAGATCAAGGGCAGCGTGGAGGACATCCCCATTATGCTGGTGGGGAACAAGTGCGACGAGACGCAGCGGGAGGTGCACACCCGCGAGGCGCAGGCCGTGGCACAGGAGTGGAAGTGCGCCTTCATGGAGACCTCGGCCAAGATGAACTACAACGTGAAGGAGCTGTTCCAGGAGCTGCTGACGCTCGAGACACGCCGCAGCGTCAGCCTCAGCGTGGACGGCAAGCGCTCCAGCAAGCAGAAGAGGGCTGACCGCATCAAGGGCAAGTGTGCGCTCATGTGAGCCGGCCAAAACCGGCTAGGGCCTCCAGGGCTCCTGCTCCCCTCCCCCTCCCTCTTTCCCTCCCTCCCTCCCTTTCTCCTCCTTCCCTCCTTCTCTTGCTCCTTCTCTCTACTCCCCTTCTTCCCTCCCTCTCCCTCCTCCCCTCTCCTTCTGCTCCTCCTCTCCCTCTTCCTACTCCTCCCCTCCTTCTTCCTACTTCTCCCTGCCCTCCTTCCTTCTCCCCTGTCCTCCACCTCCTCCCTCCTTCTTCCCTCCCTTCCCTCCCATTCCATTCCTCCTCTTCTTCCTTCGTGGCTTCCTCCATCTCTCTTCCCACACTACCAGCCCACAGTAGGGTTGAGCTCCACCCCAGTCCCTTCACACCTCCATCCGCTATCAACCCTTGCTGACACCTCCCTCTTTCTCTCTGTCCACGCCCCCCCTGTTCTATCTGTACCCCACATTCCAGCAAGGACCAGAGAGGCTGCCTTGCCTCTTAGTCTCTGTCCCTTTCCAGGGGCGTTCCTAGTCACACCCACACCCTGTCCCCCACATTCTATCACTGTGACCTCTTACTCACATCTTATTTCCTTCACCTGGTCCTGTCTGTTCCCTGTGACCCCGGACCTGAACCCTTCCCTGGGTCCAGAACACATCCAGTAATCTCCTGCAGCACACCAGGGTGGATGGGCCCACGGGCTGGGCCTCAGGCCACCAGGCAATAAACAGAGCCTGCAGCAATGCCCTGCCAACCCCAAGCGCCACCCCTGGAGCAGCAGACACCCACAGCACAAGCCCAGGACTGTCCTCAGCAGAGGCACAAGGGGACCAGAGCCTGGAGCGTGGGATGGCTGCCTGGAGGCTACCCATCTGGACACTGGCCTTCTACGGCGACAGTAGTGCCTCAACGGTGACCCCAAGTTGGGGTTTGGGGTGCTGAGGAAGGGTGCCCAGCTGAGAGCCCATTGGTGAAGCCCCCATGTGGGGCGGTGGGACTAGTTCCTGCTGCCTCAGGGCCCTGACAGACCCTGAGCGCCTTTGCTGGTTGTTCGTACCCAGAGACCGTTCCCCGCGTGTGCCCTGAGTCCCGGAGCCTCTGTGGTATCTGCGAGACTGTCCAGGACACTTGAGTGGCACTGGCTCCTGGGCCTGTGTCCCACCCAAATGAGGGTGACTGTAGAATCCTATGTTCATGTGACTTTGTGTGTGTGTGACAGGTGTGTGTTTGTCTTGGGATAGAGTGTTTCTGGGCCATTCTGTGCCCTTAGCGAGAGCAAGTGTGGATGGTGGCCGGGAAAGTGGCCTGTGTGTGGCTGTGGAGGGTACCTAGACATCGTGGTCTTCTTGTATGGACTGTGTGTGGCTGTGGAGGGTACCTAGACATCGTGGTCTTCCTGTATGGACTGTGTGTTCAGGAGTGGGAAGCAATGGATTTGACAACCTGTCTGTTTGGCTGTCTGAGGAGCACCAGGTCCTGTTCCAGGCTGTGGCAAGCTGGCCTGTGGCTCAGTCAGCTAGTGTTGTGGAACAAGAGTCAGAGATGCTGGCACTGGGCCTCAGTGCATGTGATCTTTACCTCTCGGGGACAGCAGGCCAGGCTGGGGCTGGGGCAAGCTGGGTCCTCTGTTGTGTGTGTGTGTGTGAGAGAGAGACAGAGAGAGACAGAGGGCCAGAGAGGCAGAAAGACAGCTGCAGCTGGATGCCAAGGGGGGTCCAGACCTCAGTGGGGTCTCTGTCTCCTGCACACAGGGCGAATCACAGCCTGAAGCCTGAGTCTGAGTGTAGCTGAGCCCTGATCTCCAGCCAGGCCACGGCCCCCACAGCCGCCGCCTGTTCCCTAGCCCCGGGAGCGGCTCCTGGCTGGACAGGGGGTCACAGCCCTTTCTCAGGGACACACCCTGATAGCACAATCTCTGGGCCACCCCAAGCCTCTCCTGGCTGGCCTTGCCCATCCTGGGAATACCAGGCTGGGTGGCAGGGGAGGCGGGAGCCCGCCCTGGCTGCCGGCCAACCTGCCCAGGCTTCTCTGGTGCTGGGGACCCCGCCAGGCCTCGCTTGCTGTGACCCACCCCTGCCCCCGCATGTGGGAGCCCCGCCCCGCGTGGGGTCTGTGTACCGTTCGCTGTAGACCTTGTCTTCCGCAATAAACATGTGGATCCTGCCTCCCCTGTTGCTGTGGCTTCTGCGCACCACTGGGGAGGGCTGGTGACAGGGGGAGATGGAGGAGATGGGGGGTTGTAATGGATGGGGCACCCAAGACCACAAAGAAGCTTACTGGGTCAGTGAGAGCACCCACCTTTCCTGCCCAGTCTCTGCCCAGGGCAGACTGGGACAGCTCGTGGGCTCACTGTGTAGTTGGCACCACTGTATACCAGCTGGAGCCACTGAGTGTGGTTACTCCCACAATCCCTCCCTCTGATCCCAGAGGCCACATAGGGAGGCTAAGAATGGTGACTGCTCCTGCCAAGGAGCCAAGGTCAACTCCAAGCAGCCCTTTAACAAATCGGGCTTCCTGAAACCCAGCCAAGGGAGCCTAGAAGAAAGAATCTGCTTTCAGTCTAGGACAGAAATCACAAGGTTCTGTCTCCAACATTTGGGGAGGGGGGGAAGACCCTGCCTCAAACAAATAGGCAGAAAGTGAAAGGGGAGGTCACTGACACCCCCTCACCGGCCTCTGCCATGTGCACACATCAGCACACATGCACACACATGTGCACAAACACACATACACACACATGTGTAAACATAGCAGCACATAGAAATAAAACCCTCAAACAGCACAACAAAAACAGGAACAAAAGAAAAAGGGCAGGACAGAGCCTAGAATCCCCAGTGAGGGGCTGGGGGCATGGTCAGGGTGGAGCCCCACCCAGATAGTATGATGCCATAGATGCCATGCTCAGAACTGGAATAAAAGAATGTATTCCTCTTTCATATGCTTTGTCAAATATGGCTGTACCTCATTAGGTTGCTCACTGTTCTGGCATTCATGAAGCCCTGGGTGCCATCTTTAGTTCCGAAAAACTGGGCATGATGTGGTGTTCACAGGTGCATGCACACAGACACACACACACACACAGAGGCATGCACATGGACGCACACACGTGAATGCTGGAGGTGGAGCAGACCAGTCCCTCCAGCTTTGCAGTGAATCAGAGGGCGGCCTGGGTGGTGGTGCACACCTTTAACCCCAGCACTCAGGAGGCAGAGGCAGGCAGATCTCTGAGTTCCAGCCTGGGCTATAGAGCAAGTTCCAGGACAGGCTCCAGAGCTATAGAGAAACCCTGTCTCGAAAAATAAAAACAAAACAACAAAAACAAAAACACACAAGAAAACAAAAAACCTATAGTTTATGTTAGTACGGGCTTGGAACTCACAGTGATCCTGCTCCCCCAGCTTCCTGACCACTAGGAGACAGTGAGCATCATCATAGCATCCATGGTGATTTGTTTGAACATTTATCACGTGTGTGCACATGTGTGTGCTGGTCAGACACGGAAGTCCGTGTTCTCCTTCCAACACGTGGGCCGTGGGCCCTGGAGCTTGAACTCAGGCCTCAGACTTTGCCATCCGTCCATGCACTGAGTGTCTTGCCAGTCCTGGTGTAATATTTTGGTTTGGCTTTTTGAGAGGTTTAACGTTTTGTTGTTGGTTTTCTTTTTGTTTTTTCAGACAGGGTTTCTCTGTGTAGCCCTGGCTGTGCTGGAACTCTCTCTGTAGACCAGGCTGGCCTCAAACTCGGAGATCTGCCTGCCTCTGCCTCCCGAGTGCTGGGGTTAGAGGAGTGTGCCACCACCGCCCAGACGAAGGTTTTTAAAGATGACAGAATCATAGAAACGGGCTGACGTGGTGGCAGCCACACCTTTAATCCCAGCACTCGGAGGAAGACGGAGGGGTGGGTTATGCCACTGTCAGTCTGTGAGTTTGAGGCCAGCCTGATCTACTACGTAATGAGACACTTAAAAAAAATAACATAAAATGGGGCTGGAGAGGTGGTTAAGAGCCCTGGCTGCTTTTCTAGACGACTGGGGCTCCATTCCCAGCACCCAGGCTCAAGGGATCCCATGCTCTTTTCTGACCTCTGTGGGCCTTCTACAACATGGTATACACAGAGACAGACAGACAGACAGACACACACACACACACACACACACACACTCATATATGTACACAGAGGCAAGACATCAGCACATTATGGAAAAAATAAAAACAAAATAAAGTAAATCATGGAGATGGAAGAGTGGTGGAGTTCCACCCCAGGAGAGTGGGTGTGTCCACGGCAATAGCTGTTAGGGCTCCCTCTGGTGGCAGCTTGGCGCAGTCCTGCCTTCTGGGTCTACTTAAAAGTGCATGCAAAAAATGTGTTAATTTTTTGAGAAATACATTTTAGAAAATTTATGTGTGTGTGCAGGCGCGTACGTGCACGACTATGTACGCTTGCTCCAGCATGTGTGTGGAAGTCAGACAACTTGTGACAGTTGGTTCTTCCCGTCCACTCTATGAGCCGTGGGAATTGAACGGGGTCCTCAGGCTTGGTGGGACATGCTTTTCCGGTTTAGTGCTTTTATTTATTTGTTTATTCATTTATTTACTTTTAACTTATGAATATGTATGCCTGCGTGAGGACGTAGGATCCCCTGGAACTGGAGTTATAGACACTTGTGAGCTGTCTGTCATGTGGGTCAGGGAAATGAACCCGAGTCCATCTGGAAGAGCAGCCAGAGCTCGCAATCTCTAAGCAATCTCTCGAGCATTAGTTAGTTTTTGAAACAGGGTCTCCTGCAGCCTGTTTCAATGACCTCAAACCTGGGGCAGTCCTCATTCCTCATTCTCCTAGGTGTTGGAACATTAGGTGAGTGACATCAAGCCCAGCTCTGCATCTAAACCACATCACTTGGTGGGCCACAAACAGGTGACTTCTACAGTGGTTCCTGTTGAGGGTCTGGGAACAGCTTGGGTGGGCGTGCCAGTTCGGAAGGGAAGAACGCAACAGGAAGGTCCTGGGTTTCTCTGCACAACCCGAGCCTGTCTGTGTGTGACCGCTCGGTTGCTTCAGGGATGCCCAGCGGGCAGACTGGCAGCTGGTAATCACAGAACGTCAGTCCAGAGAAATCTGAGGTCACCCACCAAGAGGCCCCTGATCGGCCCCTGATCGGCCTTTCCCTAAGGGACATCCCAGA